ATGTATGAGTCTCCCTGACTGAGTATCAATTTCAAAAGAGAAGATGCTTTGTTTTATTCACTGTTTGCCTCAAATACCCAAAAGTGTGCCTGACACTCACTATAAATATTTTCCAAATAAACAAATGAATACAGTAGTCATAATATAAGAACAGGATGCTACAAAAATGGTACAGAGAACAAGAGCACTCAGAAACTAAAAAGAGAATAGAAAATATTCAATTAGAAGATTAGAAAAGTCAAATAAATCTCCCACAAAGCAACAACAAAAAGAAAGACAACAGAAAGGTAAGAAAAGCAAAAGACAATCCAGTTGGTCAGACAATTAAATAATCAAAAGCCTAAAAAATAGAAAATGGAAAAAACCCTAAAGAGGAAATTATAAAGAAATAATATGAGAGAATTACACAAAATAAAGGACATGAGTCCCCTAACTAAAATAGTCACCAAATGCCCTGCACATTGAATACCAAAAAACCTATACTAAGAAACACTGCTTATCTTTGATGTTCTGAAATTTTATTGTCAGTGGAAACTCTACAGCAGTAATAGCTGGGCATCTTCACAAATACAAAGGGAAAAGAAAGCTATAGATAGAGAATGGATAGATTGAGAGACTTAAGAAACATCAGTCAATCACAATTTGTAGACCTACTAGGGATTCTGATTCAAACACACATTTATGCCATATATGGAGCAATTTGAAATGTGAAAAATGCCTGGATATTTGATTATATTAAGTAATTACTGTTTATTTAGGTTTGATATTGATAATATGGTTCTAAATAAAAGACCCTTTATTTTTCACAAAACACAATTAAATATTTATGGTTAAAATAACATGATGCTTGGGATTTGTTTCAGTATAATACGGGAAGAAGAAAAGTGAGTAGGGGTGTAAATGATACCAGATTGCCTATAAATGAATAATTGTTGAAGCTGGTGATGGATACGTTAAGTTCATTATAATATGCTGTCTACTTTTTTTAATGTTTAAAGTTTTCCATTAAAAAAAAGTGAAAAATGAGAAAAGGGAACCCTCATGCACCACTGGTGGGAATAAAAATTGATGTAGCCACTATGGAAAATAGAATGGTGATTCCTCAAAAAATTAAAAATAGAACTACCATATGATCCAGCAACTCCATTCTTGGGTACTTCTCCAAATAAAACAAAAATACTAGTTAAGAAAGATATATGCACCCCTAAGTTCATTGCAGCATTACTTACAACAGCAAAGCTATGGAAGCAATCTAAGTGCCCACCAACAGATGAATGGATAAAGATGTGGTATATATATACAATGCAGTATTAGTCATCCATAAAAAAAAAATGAAATCTTGCCATTTCCAACAACATGGATGGACCTGGAGAGTTTTACGCCAAGTGAAATAACTCAGATAGAGAAAGACAAATATTTTATCATTTCACTTTTATTTGGAATCTAGAAAACAAATGAATAAACGCAACATAACAAAAACAGAGTTATAGATACAGAGACCAAACAGGTAGTTGCCAGAGAGGAGGCAGTGGGAGGGGAATAAACAGGTGAAGGAGACTGAGGGACAAACTTCGAGTTGCAAAATAAATGAGTCACATGTATGAAATGTACAGTGTGGGGAACATAGCCAATAACTATGTAATACCTTTGTATGATAACAAATCATAACCAGATTTATGGTGATCATTTTGAAATGTACTGAAATATCAAATCACTACATTGTGTAACAGGAACTTCACAACGCAAGCGTTGTAGGTTAAGTATACTTCAAAAACACACTCATACAAAAAGAGATCACATTTATGGTTACCAGAGGCAGATGGGGGTGGGGAGAGGTATTTGGATGAAGGCAGTTGCAAAGCACAAACTTCTAGTTACAAGATAAGTAATTCTAGGGATGTAATATACAACATATTACATATAATTAACACTGCCGTATGAAAGTTAAGAGAGTTACGCAGAAGAGTTCTCATCATAGGAAAGAAATGTTTTTTTTTTCTGTTTCTTTCGATTTGTATCTATATGAGATGATGGATAGTCACCAAACTTATTGTGGTCATCATTTCATGATATATGTAAATCAGATCATTATGCTGTACACCTTAAACTTATACAGGGTATATGCCATTATATCTCAATAAAGCTGGAACAAAAAAAGTTTAAAAGAATAGAGGACCAGGAAAACTTTCAGACAGGAAAAGAGTGAGAAAACGGTCACCAACAAGGGAATACAAATAAGAATAACATCAGGCTAATCAACAGCAACAGAAGAGTCTGGGAACCAGTGACGCAAGGCCTTCAAATTCTAAAAGAAAGACTTCCAATCTAAAAGTCTGTATTCAGCCAGATTATATTTATCTTAATATTTTACTGATAAAAAACGTGTTCAGACATGCAAAATCAAATAAAACTTAGCTCCCAGACACCCTTTCTTTAGAAACTACTAGACTATGTACTCCAAAAGTAATGGAGGCAAGGGACCTAAGAAACAGAAGATCCAGCAGAGGATAACGAAAAGTCTCCGGGTGATGGCTGTGCCAAGTGCCTAGACAGCACTGAGGAGGTGGTGCAGAAGAGAGTCCCAGAAGAATAGGATAATTTTCTGAGGAAAGATTCCATAAGGTGGCCAATCAGAATTCCTTCCTGGTTTTAAAAAGTTACACCCCCACTTTCAAGGTACAAGAATTTTTAACACCAATTTTACCCTCACCAATGCTGGGTACTATCATTTTCTTTAATCTTATTATTGTTATGAGTGTTACTGTCTTTCTTACATTATGGTGAGGTTAACTATTTTTCATGTTTGTTATTCATCTGAAATTATTCTTTCATATCTCCTTTGACTTTCTTGGTAGGTTTTTTTCAGAAAGGCTTTCTGCTTTTTCTTACCAAATAGTAGGGGATTTAGAGAGAGAGAGATTTATCCTTTGCTGTAAATATCTTTCTCATTTGGTTGTCTTTTTATTTTATTTGAAGTGGAGGCTTTACTTATTATGACTTTAATTTTTCCTAGTCAAAGCTATGAATTTATTCCTTTACAATTTTGTTCTTCTGCTTTATTACTAGTAAGTCATACTGCACTCAGAGAGCAGAAAAAATTAATTCAAATTTTCTTCTTAGTTTATTGCTATTTTTTAATATTTTACTCTTTTTAATCCAACTTGAATTTATTTTAGAATATAATGTCAGGTAGGAATCTAATTTTATTTTGTCCTAAATATTTAACCAATTATTTTAACATGATTCACTGAATAATCTTTCCTATTCTTACTGATTTAAAATATCTTTGATATACTAAATTTTCATATATACTCTACAAGCTCTACAAGTCTACTACTGGTCTTTCATTTCTGTGCCACTGGAAGTCTAATCTTAGAGATACTGTAATTTTTGGCCACTCAACAACCTTTTCCCTCCTTTTGGTACCAGCATCCTAATTTCCTAATAAGAATTTCTTTTGAGTGGCTTTAATTTTAGTAGAATTGAGAGGGATTTATTTGGGGCAAATTATCTCTTTCAACCAAATGTTCTCTTTCTGAGATTTGAATCCTGAATAATGTTATAAAAAGAATGAAAACTGCTGGTACCAATTAACCCCAATTTCATTCATCATTTCTGCTACCAAGAGCTCTGGAGGTGCTCTGGGACTCATATGATTTCTGAGCCTGACTCCTTAACATCCCTGTGAATCTGTGAATACGATTCCCATATTCACTGAATCCCCTATTTAAGTTAACCAAAGCTGGTTCCTGTTGCATACAACCAAAAACCACAACTGGTACATTACTGAAGCTTTATAATCTGTATTAACTTCAGGTATAGTAAGTTCCCACTCATTAGTCTTATCAAAATGTTTTAGAGACTCTCATGTGGATGAATTTTAGAATCTGTCTTTCCAAAGCAAATCCACTGAATTTCTGATCGGAACTGCTTTAACCCATAATATAATCTAGGGAAGATTCATATCTTTACACTGTTAAGTGTTCCCAAAAATGTCTCATCATTTTCTTTTAAGACTCTCAGTTAAATTCCATAGTTTTTTTAAATGTATTTATTGTTAATTGCATTCCTGTTGTTGTCAGTGTGGTGATGAAAACTGTTCTAGTATTTTATTCTCTGATTATTACTGTTGTAAGAATGTAAACATAGCTGTTATACATTATTTTCTTTTTGACCTCCTTCTTGAATGTTCTTACTAGTATCAGTAATTTCAAAGTTTATTTTCTTGACCATTCAGGTTATCGGGGTTAGTATATCATCTTAAAATAGTAAGAATCATTCCTTCTTTCCAAAAATTATAATTCTTACTGCTATTCTTGCCTGTATATATTTCTTTGGCTAAAATTCTCAGCACAATGTTAAATGACAGCAGTGAACTTAAGGAGAGAATCTCCAGCATTTAATCATTAAATACTCTTTATAAATGTTTATTTACCTAATAAGAATTATAAGTTTTTGTTAGGATAAAATTTATTTATCTAGTGAAATATTTAATTTCCCACAAAGCAAAAGAAAATTTTTTAAAAGAATTAACAAATAAGTTAGATTTCTCTCAAGATTCCAGTGATTATCAGTATCATTTACTCATAAAAATCGTATCTTTCATTTGTAAACTCATACTTCTTTTCCATCTAAAGTCATACCTGAAAAACATTTTACAACACTATGCAGCTGGTACACATGATTTAAACTACAAAATTAGAATTTAATATTAGGTATACAAAATATTTTCCTGTGCTGCTTCCTCAACCTTGTAATGTAAACAGTTATCCTCAAACTTTACAACTATTCCAAGACAATTAACTGTTAAAAATGAATAGCTTTTTTTTTAATTAGGAACAAAATTTACTCAGATACAAAAGTTTTCAAAGAAGCTAATATTCAATTGAAATAAATGTCAAAAAAATTCGTTTCATATTTTATCACAGAGTAAAACTTTCTCTGACTTTAAATTACTGACTGGAAACATATATATGCTATAAAAGAATGAGAAAATGTACCTCAAACTCTTTTCTAAGACGTTCCTCTCGTTGAGTGCTAAATTCGAGTTCACTTGTTTGTCGCCGTAAAAGGTCAGAGCAGTCCATGTGCTCAGCTTCTAATTTTTCTACTTTCTTGTGCATATTTTGTACAGCACTATCTTGTTCCTGGAAAATAATTCATTTTTGCATCAATAAGTTTATAAGCCAACAATGACTAAAATTTATTCTGTGTAAGACAGTGAGTAACTAAATCTGTGTTTCAACCATAATAATTGGTTAATTTACATAAGCCAGAGGACTGGATATTTTCTAGCAATGTTTCAAAATATACACATATTTAAACAGCACTACCAGGGTTTTACAACCTAAAAAATCTGATTAATACATATTACAATTGAAAATGTATATAGCTTACTACAACGTTATGCCTATTCAACTGACCTCTGAAGGCAGTTACATAATACTGTGGTTCAACTGCCATGTATAAAGTTTTCCTCTCTCATTAAAATTGTATTAAAATATTTAGTAATACAAATATAAACCACTCCCTTGTGTGATAAGGAACGATTAGCCCGAATGCCTAATAATGACCCTTGAGAGATTTTTATGTGAGCTCATGGTACTTTATGCTTAGAGCTCTTAAAGTTGCATCCACTAGATGGCTGTATTTCATTTTCTCTTCAGTTTTCAAGTTTTGAAATCTTTGCTGCATTATTGAAAGAAAAATAACATCAAGTTGTCTTCTGTTTAGGTCTTTCAATCTCCTTTTCCAACTAAACTCAGAAATCACAGTTGAATTTTATACAAGTTCAAACATAAAGTTAACACACATATCAAAGGTATTTTCCACAGTAATTTAGATTAATCTTTCTCACTTAAGGTGTTTGACAAAGCCTTGTTTCCCCTCTTTCCCTCACCAGCATAATGTTATTTGGGAACACACATGTATTAATACATGCCTCCAAGTATCCCTAACCACTCAAAGGGTATGATCAGGATCTGAGTGATAACATTCCAAGTACCAAATATAATTCTTTGTAAAAGATTCTAGTTTGGCAAGTACGCAGCAGTATAGTCCACAAAGGATGAAGAACAAAATTTAATTCCTCTCCACATTCTGTCATTCTTAAGACTACTATATTCTATACCTGACTACATATGTACTCTAAAGAATTATTTTCTTCAGGTAATGGGAACTCCTTAATATACAAAAGTTCATCTACTTACACATTTTCTATCTTTAAACTATCATAGATAAGAATAAAGCCAGGTACCAGAGCAAGAATGTGCCAACACTGCCTACAAGCAACAGAGAGCACTCACAGTTTTCATCATGACACCCTGAATTCAGAAACAAAGGGTATTGTGAATAGCCCTATGTAATCTAACTTCATCATAAGAGTACCTTCATATATGAAAGCAAGTTTTAAGACCATTAAGCATCACACAAGTGTAAGTTACTATTATTATTCTACATGATAGGACCTCCTTCTCCAAACAGTCAATAGTATCAGTATTAATTCAAACTACTGTTAAATTATATGCCTTCTTGACTTACAAATATGTAATTCCAACTTCCAATCATCCACTTAGATCACTCTGTATAAAAATGTATAAACAGCAATTTACAAGGCTAATCACAAAATAAACTAAATAATTTGAAATAGAAACAAAGTCTATAACCAAAAATGTTTATCTCCTAGTTGAAGGCAATTATTTCAAACAATATTTATTAAATCAAGAAAAATAAAGTATTCATGAAGTCTCATGAGATATATTTATAAAAATATATGACTTGTGATTCCCATTGCTTTGATAAATAGTATAAAAAGAAAACAAAGAATCATTCCAAATACTATACTAATATATGCCTATCATTCCATGTGAGTTTAAATTTAATCCTATAAAAAAGAACTGGAAAATGAATGGCTATTAGTTAGGGCTTTAACTCTATGATATTTGACTTATTTAAATATTACTTACCAAGTAGCTTTCAACTAAAAGTCTTTCAAAATGTAGATCACAGTTCTAATGCAGAGGTCAAGTAGTCATTAATATTATGTGATAATTACTACACATTATTTGATATGGATAAAGAAAATCAGTAAGAATAGCAGTAAGAATAGCTGAATCTCAGTAAGAAAAGCAAATTTTGTAGCATTTAAATTTGCCTTAACTCCACACTGCCTTCCCCCAACTCCTGATGGCCTTGAAAATCAGCAGTCTCAATACAATTGTATAGACATCGAAATAACCTTTATGTCCATCAACAGATAAATGGGTAAAGAAAATATGGTATATAAGTATACAGTTTAATATATATATACACACACACATATATATACAGGGGTGTGTGTGTGTGTATATATATGTATATATATATATGTATATGTATATATAGTTGACCCTTGAACAACTATAAGCATGGGTTTGAACTGCATGGGTCTACTCATGCACAGATTTTTTTCCAATAAATATATTGGAAAAAATTTTCGGAGCTTTGTGACAACTTGAAAAAACTCACAGATAAACTGCATAGTCTAGAAATACCAAAAAATTAGTGAAAAGTTACGCCAAGTGCATAAAACATTGTACATACTAGCCTATTTTATCATTTAGTATCATAATATACACACAAATCTATTATAAAAAGTTAAAATTTATCAAAACTTATACACACAAATACAGACTCTACTTGGCACCATTCGCACACGAGAGAAATGTAAACAAACATAAAGATGCAGTATTAAAACATAACTGCATTAAAATAACTGTAGTCCATAGTGTACACTGTAATTATTTTGCAGCCACCTCCCATTCCATTGCTCGAGTGAGCTCAAGTGTTGTGAGTATCTGCTTAAAATGCGGCTTGATGCTAACCATTTCCACATGAGCCATTCATCTCTCCAGTAAACTTCACATCACAGGAAAAAGTGATCTCTCATGGTTCTCAAGTCTTCATTGTGTTTAGTGCAATACTGTAAACCTTGAGTAACACCATGGGACCTATACAAAGTACCACTAGTGATTCTGGAAAACTCCCAAGAAGCAAACAAAAATAATCACATCACAAGAAAAAGTTGAATTGCTTGTTATGTACCATTGATTGAGGTCTGCAGCTGTCATTGCCTGCCATTTCAAGACAATGAATCCAGTGTAAGGACCATTGTAAAAAAAATAGAAAAGGAAATTAGTGAACTATGGCTGAAGCTACAACAGCAGGTACGAAAACTTGGCACTTTTTGAGGAATACCTTTTTATCTCATATTGAAAAGGCAGCTTTTACGTGGGTGCAGCATTGCTGTAAGAAGGGCATACCTACAGACTCTAAAATGATCCAAGAAAAAGTGAAGTCATTATATGACAACTTAAAGCAAAACGAAGATAAAGGATCTAAAGCTGGAGAATGTAACGCCAGCAAAGGATGGCTTAATTATTTTAGAAAGAGATTTGCCTTTAAAAATGCCAAGATAACAGGAGAAGAAGCTTCTGACAACCAAGAGGCAGCAGATGAGTTCCCAGATGCTGTTAAGAAAATCACTGAAGAGAAAGGATGTCTGAACAGGAGAAACCTGTCTGAACAGGAGAAACCTGTCTGAACAGGTTTTTAAAGCAGGTAAAATAGCCCTACTAGGGGAAAAGATGTCCAAAGGATATTTAATCATAAGGAAGAAAATCAAGCACCAGGATTTAAGGCAGGGAGAGATAGGCTAACTCTACTGTTTTGTACAAAAGCAGCTGGATTTATGACCAGGACTGCCCTTATCTACAAAGCTGCTAACCTCTGAGCTGCTGGTCTTTTGGTTGTACCAGAAGGCCTGGACAACAAGAACGCTTTTTCTGAATTGATTCCATTGACGTTTATCCCTTAAGTCAGGAAGTACCCTGCCAGTAAGAGACTGATTTTTCAAGATCTTTTGATATTGGGCATGCCCCTGGCCACCCAGGGCCCCATAAGATGAACTTGAAATGGTCTTCTTGCTCCAAACACAACATCACTAACTTAGTCTCTCGATCAGGGGGTCATAAGGATCTTTAAGGCTCATTACATATGGTATTCTATGGAAAGGATGGTCAATGCTATGGAAGAGAACCCTGAAAGAGAGAACATCACAAAAGTTTAGATGGATTACAGCATTAAGATGCCATTGTTCTTACAGAAAAAGCCATGAAAGCCATCAAGCCCAAAACAATAAATCCCTGCTGGAGAAAACTGTGTCCTGATGTTGTACATGACTTCACAGGATTTACGACAGAGCCAGTGAAGGAAATCATGCAAGAGATTGTGGATATGGCAAAAAAAGATGGGGGTGAAGGATTTCAAGATAAGGATCTTGGAGAAATTCAACAGCTAGCAGACACTACACCAAAGGACACCACACCAACTTAATGGAGATGAATGCTTCCAAACTAGTGTCAAATGATGAGGAAGAAGACATAGAAGAAGCAGTGCCATAAACAAACTGACATTAGACAGCCTGGCAGAAGGTTTCAAGACTGCTTTTGACTTTCTTTTACAACATGGATCCTTCCATGATACGGGCACTAAAACTAAAACAAACAATGAGAGGAGGACTGGTACCACTTAGGAACATTTTTAAAGATGTGAAAAAGCAAAAAGTTCAGATAGAAATGAGGATGTATTTCTGTAAAGTTATACCAATGGTACCTACCTCTCCTGTTTTCCACCTCCTCTATCTCTCCCACCTCAGCCACCCCTGAGACAACCCCTCCTCCTCCTTAATATGAAGACAACAAGGAAGATCTTTCTGATGATCCACTTCCACTTAACGAATAGTAAAAAACGTTATGGTGTACAGTTAATAAACTTATCTGTTGTGTATATGTGTGACTTCATGTGAGTATCTAATAACTGTACAGCAAGGACTATATGAGACGTTCCTGTGTCCTCATCATCACCTAAGTATTCATTGTGTAGAAAGAACATCCTGTGCAAGATTTGTGTTGAAGGAGATAGCCTATCCTTACACAGGCATAAGGTGAGTGATATTTAATATAAAATTAGTAATGTGTTAGTTTTCTTACGGTTTTATAACTTTGTTTTCAAAGAATCACGTTACTGTACAGTATGTCTCTCTCTCTTGTAACTAGAGAAACTGCATATCAGCCTATCATCACAGGTAAATGTTTTTTTCCTAATGTAA